GCCTAATCCTCTTTTATCACCATATGACTTACCTCCTTCAAGTATTTTATCTAATTTTTTAGCACCTATGGTTAACCTTTTAATAGACTCCTTAGCTCTACCAAGTTCTTGCAAATTATTTGATTCATTTTCTTTGAGCAATTTAATTAATTTATCTTTTTCACAACAATCATGCTCAAGAGACTTGACTTTATCAATTAATGCATTTTTCTCATCACAATCAAATACATGCTTTTTCACAAGGTACATCAATTTTAACAATATTATGATCCTTCTCTTTTAAGCAAGAAATTTCATTTAGTAAAGACTTATTTTCAATAATTGAAGTCTTATATTTCTTTTTAAGCACAACATACTTTGAACTAAGTTTTTCTAAATCAATTGTCATCTCATCAACAAGTTTAAATAATTCATGATAAGAAAGAGATTCAAGAGTTACCTCATCTTCTTGTTCATCTTCTTGTTCATCCTCTTTGTCACTATGAGCCATGAAGCAAAAATTTGCTACTTCTTCATCACTTCCACTTGCACTTTCATCACTATCATCCCAAGTAGCCTTCATTGCTTTCTTCTTGGATTTCTTAGATGATTTGAGGAGAGGACAATCCGTTCTTATATGACCCGGCTTTTTACATTCATAACATATTACCTCATCGTTTTTGCTCTTTTCACCTTTTGACTCTTTTTGATTTGTGAAATGTTTCTTGAATTGTTTCTTCCTTTTAATAAAATTTTTATACTTACGTATGAAGTAGGCGACATCATCTTCATCAAGGACGTCCTCATCTTCAAAGTCAACTTTGATGGACTTTAGGGCTACACTTTTCTTCTTTTTGGATTCTTCTTCCATGTGCCCCTTCATGGTAATCTCATGTGTCATGAGAGAACCAACGAGTTCATCCAAAGGAAGCCTTGTGAGATCCTTTGCTTCTTGAATCGCCGTCACTTTTGCCTCCCAACTTTTAGGCAGAGACCTAAGAATTTTTCTTACATTTTCGGAAGTAGAATATACTTTTCCAAGATTTTTCAAAGCATTTAAAATATTAGTAAATCTAGTAAACATATCACCAATAGGTTCATTTTTCTCCATTATAAATAGTTCATAATTATGAACTAACATGCTAATTTTTGTTTCTTTAACTTGATTGGTTCCCTCATGAGTTACTTCAAGAGTTTTCCAAATTTCATATGCCGAAGAACACATACATACTCTATTAAATTCATCATTACTTAAGGCGCAATACAGACAATTGATAGCACTAGCATTCAAAGAACAGTTTTTTCATATCATGCTCATCAAATTCATTTTCTAATTTAGGCACCTCAATATTATTAACAATTTTTATTGGAATGTAAGGACCATTACTAACATTTAACCACAATTGATAATCAACGGATTGCAAATAAATTTTCATTCTAGCTTTCCAACATGTATAATTTGTTCCATCAAAATAAGGTGGCCTAGAAGTTGATTGTCCTTCACTAAAACCATTTTTAACACGTAGGTTTGCCATAAGCTCGAACAATAAAGTTTAGATAAAAAATCTATAAGAGCAACCTGCTCTGATACCAATTGTTGGATCGGTATGGCAACCCTAGAGGGGGGGGGGGTGAATAGGGTTTTAACGATATGATTAATTTTTCTAATGATGAAACTTTTTACAAATAAGTAGAAGATGATAATTACTATAACAAAGTAATTCAAGTCAAAAGAATAATCACAATAATAATTTTGAAATTAAATAGGAAAGAGTTAGAGAAAATGACACCGTAGTTGTATAGTGGTTCGGTCAAACTCGACCTACTCCACTCCCCAAGCACTTCTTGGGAATTTGAATAAAGAACTTTATCGACTCTTTCCACGGATCTGAGCCAAACCGCTACACCGCTCTTTTTACGAGTTCAAGAGCAAACTCAATCCTTTCCACGGCGCAAGATCAAACCGATACAAGTATTTGAGTTTGATAATAACACACCACAACTCTCTCAAAGAGTAGATTTACAATTTGGGATACTCACAACTATTTTCTCACAATATAATAATAATTCCTCTCAAGAATAAGATGAAAAGAAATAAACTTGTAAGCTTGAAGAGAGCAACAAACAATGGAGACTTTGAACAAATGAGGATTGGAGAATGTATGTAAGTTATGTGTTTTAAAATGTGGGGAAGATGAGTTTATATAGAGGAGAAAAGTGGCAAAATGTAGGATTGAATATTGACTATTGGATTATGTTAGGAATAATGGAAGGTGAAGATTAAAAGTAAATAAATAAGAAAGTTTTCTAAATTCATTTATTTCAAAATTTTAATATAATAGTAATATAATATAATAATAATAAAAAGTTATGTGAGTAACGGTCAAATGAAATTTAAAATTTATTATAAATATAATAATAAAAACTATGTGAGTAACTACCAAAATTTTAAAATATAATAATATAATAATATAATATAGTAATAATAAAAATTGATGTGAGTAACGGTTAGATTTAAATTTATATTTTGTAAAAATAACTTTATTTAAAAATATAATAATAAGAAAAAAAACTCCACCATTTGTTACTCTCCCAAAATTATAAATGTCATACTTTGATATATCTTGATTTGTCCATCATTTTGATTTTGCTGACACATCATCACGTTGGGTATGTTGTCTCGATTGTAATTTCTTCGTTTTAGCTCTGATTTGAGTAATTGAAAAGTCGTTGAAATCGTTATTCCCGACCTTAACTGTGGACAGTTCAAAATACTGAAAATAGTTAATAATTAAAAGTAGGTTTGTTATCATCAAAACATCAATCAATTAATTGATTGAAATTAATTAAAGTGAAATCAAGGGCCAATAAGCCAACAGGTATTGAATGATCCAATAGGAACAACCACCAACATAAGCGTAGGACGTATACGAGGAGCTAGAAACTTACGTTTAAGTTTTAGGGAGTACTTCGGCTAAGGCCTACCAAGTAAGTGGCTCACCCGTCATAACTTACGCGTTGTATGTTGTATGTTGGCACGTGACCGTGGATTCGCACGTGTCATTAAATTGTATGCTAGACTGTTATTCTTAAATACGTAAACTTATGAAATGTGAATGTACGCTCTTTGGTATGATGTGATGTGTTGTGCTTATGACGTTTGTGATATTTCTGGATGATTCTGGTATGAACGGTACTATAATTTTCAATGTAAACAACATGAAATGCATGACATGTAATATTGGTGGAGACTGTTCCAATAAAGAAGCTGCCATACAAATTTGGGACACTATGAATGTCGTTATGCTTATGGAAACTTCTCTCAACGGAATATTGTATGATAGTCTTTGGTGGAGATTTAAGATAGCTAGAAATTGGTCTTTTGTTGAGAAGGTTGAGGATGGTTGGGAGGGAGTTTCACATCATCCACGCCTCTTAGGAAAGCACAAAGCAAAGACATGAGAGGTTATACTCAAAGTGGGCAATATCATACCATCATGGAAGTACATGGTTCCTAGTATGGTATTAGAGTCATGCCTTAACTTAGCCCTGTCAATAAAATCCTCAAATCTCAAACAAAAAAAACTGTAAATCTCAAAGGTGTACTAACTAAATTATGAAAATAAGATAAAATCTACCAAATATACAACTAACAAAATCCTCAAAATAAGATAAAATATACTATGAAACAATTCCTAAAAAAATATCACCAAATTATGAACTTAAGATGTTAAAAAAGAAAAAATAAATTGATTCTATATAAAATACATTTCCTAACTAAATTTATATCATAGGAACTATTATACTTGCTTTCATTAAATTTCCCAAAAACTTGAAATCAAATCACAGAGTTATGTTAAACGAATGAAGATCATACAACTGAAACATATCCAAGTTTTTGTCCCGGCCCGGTGATCAGTTTCTTTACGAGATCCAGACCGTTGATTTTGAAGCAGTTAAAATAAACTTGGTATAAAGACAAAATTAAAATTAATTTTAAAATTAACATTAATACTCTTAAATAGATAGAAAAAAAAAATTAAAAGCTCGTACATGATGTAGGTGTAGATAGGATTTAAGAACCTTAAACTTTTGGTTAAAAAAACTTAAAAACATTGGTGTGATTAATAAAGTATTGTCAGACGGTTTTCGTCTATATATTGACGGTAACAACACTTTTAAATCTTTTTATAAAGTTTGGAGGTGTTAAATGTGATTTAAAGTTTCGTGGGTATTTTATTTTTAATAATGGAAGGATATTAATTAAATTTTTTAAAGTTTAGAGGTTATTTTTATAAAATAATTAAGGTTTTATGAGAATTTTAATCTTCAAAACAAAAATATTTTCAAAACCCATTGATCCTAATTTTTGGTTTTTAATAAATATATTTGTTTTCTCAGCTTTTAACTCATTTGTCTATCTAAAATTTATTTTAATATTTTTAAAATTTTCATATTTACATTAATACTTTACATTATTCATTAGATATAATAATAAATAAATAAATTAATTAATTAGGGTCGTTAAATAATATTTTTTTAAAAAATTAAATTATCTTTATCAAGTGATTGATAAAATTAAAATAATTATAAAAAAAACAGTGAAAATAGTTTTAAACAGTTAAGATTTAGTAAATAAAGCAAAAATAGTAATAATAAATTGTGTTAAATAAAACCTAACGCAACTAATCCAATTAAAATTAAATCAGAGCAAATATCTGAGACAGATTTGAAAATTCAGTCCTTTTTTAGATTTCATATCTACTTCATATTTAAAATTAGAAAATAAAAAACACCTTATTTCTTCATATTTAAATTTATTTAATTATACCAACAAAAAAAAATCTAAAACGTAATCAATCAAATAAATATTTTTAATTTAATTTAATAATATCCCAAATTTTTCTCTTTATAAAGAGGAGCAGTGACCATTAATTTTTCAGTGAGTGAAAAATACTGATAATTTCCTAGAGGGTGAAAAATATTGATAATTTCTTGGAGAGAGTGAAAAATACTGAAAGATGAACATTCTTACTAATTTCATCTTTATGTTGTTCGGGTTCTTTTGGTTAATATCACCGGTCATTGCTGTCAAAAAGGTAATGTCATTTATTTGCTTGGTAAATCATTTGGTTTGTGTCAAATAAAAGTAATGTTTTTTTATTTTTTTCAACCCTAATTTTATTTTTTTGGATTTCAGTCCTATATTGTGTTATTAGGATCTCATTCACATGGGTTAGAGGTATCAGCAGTAGATCTTCAAAGAGCGGTCGATTCCCATCACAAATTGCTCGGATCCTTCTTGGGGAGGTTTGAAGTTCGATTTTTTTTTGTTATTATATTATTATTATTTTGAATTAACAAAAATGGAAAATTTTCAGTTCTGAAAAGGCAAAAGATGCAATTTTTTACTCGTATAAGAACCACATCAATGGGTTTGCAGCCATTCTAGAGGAGGAGGAGGCCACCAAACTTGCAAGTAAATACTAAACTATTTTAACTTTACTATATATATTTAAATAATAATTAATAATTAAATATATATTTAAATAATAATTAATAATTATTTATGGGACAGAGCACCCAGAAGTAGCAGCAGTGCTGCCAAACAAAGCTAAAGAGTTACACACAACTCATTCATGGGAGTCCATGCATTTGGAGAAGAATGATGTTATTCCTTCTTCTTCTCCTTGGAGGAAGGCTAGATTTGGAGAAGATGTTATTATCGCCAATCTTGACTCAGGTAAATATATATTATCTCTTACTTCTTCATATAAGAGTTGTTCGAGTTAGTAGATTCTATTTGGGTTCTGTGTAAATTAAAAAACTAGATAAATTAAATATATTCTTTTTTTGTTTAAAACAAAAAAATAGGTGTATGGCCGGAGTCCAAGAGTTTTGGAGAACAAGGCATAGTTGGAGGCGTGCCATCGAGGTGGAAAGGAGGCTGCATGGATAAAACCCCTGATGGAGTGCCTTGCAACCGGTACAATTGTTAATCATAATTTGATATTTTATTATTATTTTTAATTCAAATTAAAGGGTGATTAACTCCATTCATTATGATTAACACAGGAAATTAATCGGAGCAAAGTATTTCAACCAAGGGGCACTCGCGTACTTGAAATCCCAAAATTTAATGGAGGAACTCCCATTGATCGTCAACTCCACGCGCGACTACAAAGGTCATGGATCCCACACGCTGTCGACGGCTGGCGGCAGTTATGTCTCCAACGTTAGCGTATTTGGGTCCGGTATCGGAACTGCCAAGGGCGGCTCTCCCAAGGCCCGCGTTGCTGCCTATAAGGTCTGCTGGCCGCTTCCTAACATTGGTGGCTGCTTTGACGCCGACGTTGCCGAGGCATTTGATCATGCCATCCACGACGGCGTCGATGTCCTTTCGCTTTCCATCGGCAGTCCACCAGCCGAATACTATGATGATATCATTGCCATTGGTTCCTTTCATGCACTAAAGAAAGGAATCCCCGTTGTGTGCTCCGCCGGAAACTCCGGCCCGAGCATGGCGACTGCTTCTAATATTGCTCCGTGGATTTTGACAGTCGGGGCTAGCACTTTGGACCGTGAATTTCAGGCGCCCATTGAACTTGGAAACGGACAACGCTTCACGGTTTGTTTAAAAATATTTAGTCATGAATTACCGTTTCCATATATATAATAATTGATAGGAAAATATGTAGACATAATATCATATTTGTCCTCGTTTGGTTGAACATAAAATTTGTTCTCGGTGATTAGGGATCGAGCCTTTCGAATCCATTAGCGGGAAGAAAGCTATACCCATTGATAACGGGAGCTCAGGTGAAAGCGACGACTGCCTTTGCCCAGGACTCCATTCTCTGCAAACCGGAAACCTTGGATCATTCTAAAGTGAAAGGGAAGATCTTGGTTTGCTTGAGAGGGGGTTCTTCGAGAATTGACAAAGGAATGCAAGCCCTCCTCGCCGGTGCTGTCGGAATGATTCTCTGCAATGATAGGCTTAGTGGATTTGAAATCATGGCCGATCTCCATGTTCTTCCAACTTCCCATATCAATTACAATGACGGCCAAGCTGTTTTCTCGTACATCTATTCCACGAAGTAAAAAAAAATACAATTTATTTACTTCTTTATGAATCTTTGTCGGAATCTTTCTCTAATTGTTGTTGTTTTTGNCTCCATACATGGTCTTAAGACTTTGCGGATGGTAATTTTTCTGCTACCATCATGTTAGGCCTTTTGAGCTTATTGTATTTTAATCGAAGAGAGGTCACCAAGAGATAGATACAGATAATAAAAAAAAAGAGACAAGTTCCTAATTCAAAATAGTGTGAGAGGGGCCAAGCTTGGATCGAGTTTCCATTTCCAAGTACTAGGGAAGAATCTTTTTGTAACAACTCGAAATTTCCTACTTACATATCATAAACATTGAATGCGGAATTACTTCATTTAAAATTTCATAAAACTTAACCTTCAGCTAACCTTCAGCTAAAAATTTCATAAAACTTAACCTTCAGCTAACCTTAAGCTAAAAACACAGCCATGGACGTGTTTTGAAAACACCTTTAAAAATGACACAAAATAAATAAATAAATAAATACATAAATAAACAAACGTTTAAATTAAAAACATCCTATCCTAAGTTTATTAAAATAAATACAACTACCCTATGGATGTGTCATAGTCTCGAGTTGCCTGGCTTGAGTATTTAAGAAATACTCGTAAGTGACCTAATTATTGGGGGTTAAATGCAAGAACATGCGCAATGACAGGACCTATCATATCAATCTATTTTTTCCTACGGCACTATTCAAGGCTTGGATGTGTACCATATACTCTACACACAGCCCATATGTGCGAGTATGGGCTCATCTTGCACACCGCTGGACCCCTTTCTTATCGAGTGAGCCTTCTCTGGTAACTGTCACGGCAGACACCCATTAGAATTAGTAACCGTCACGGCAGCATTATGTAAAACATAAGGATACTTTGCCTGCCTAATGGATGATACTTTGCCTGCCTAATGGATGTACGCGTTCGTACCCTCGTGATGGAATATGGGTATCCCCAGCACACATAATGCATGAGGTCCCAACATTTTTCCGTTTTCATTATCATTTAATACAACCCAGCTAGTGTTCTGTACATATCATGTCGTTTTTCATATCATTTCACGTATCGTTCATCATTCATATCACATCGTTTTTCATATTATTTCACGTATCGTTCATCATTCATATCATATCGTTTCTCATTATTCAGTTCTCATATTATACATAATTCTAATGGGGTTATATTTCATGTCAGTTACAGTGATTTCATGTCATTCATATCATGCAATATACACACAATTTAGGAGACATAACATTTCATCATATACTTATTATACCGTAACATATTGCATCACAATATATCATATCATAAACATGTCAATTTATCACATATCTCGTATCATAACATATTTCATATCATCTGATAACATGTATATATCCGTCATTCACATGTCGTATCATAATCATAACATATCATAAACATATCAATCCACAAACAATTCACACACATTAATATATGATGATATGTACAGAACCACGGGGCACTTGTCAACATCAAATATAACCAGGTCGATAGTAAGGTCACTTACCTAGTTAGCTTAGGTTGTTGTCACAAATATATCCGTAATGAAAGTTGTATTCTGTCATTTGAAATCCAGTTTCAAGTTTGAACTCTATAAAATTATTATTTTTTACTTTACATTGGTCCATTGTTAAAAATCTTGAAATGTTATTCATTTATAATGATGTTTTTATTAAAAATCTTAATTTCTATGGTTATTGTTGTATTAAAGAAGTTGAGAGTTATTTCAAGTCATTCGGTGCTTTTCTGCCCTCTGTATTTACTTTTCTCCCTATATAATTTACTGATCTAATATTACTAATCTGACATGATTTACTAGAATTCATATAAATGATTCACATTTAGTTTCTAACTCAAAACTAAACCATTATAATGATTTAATGAGATCTAACTACAATGGGCTGTGATGTCTAAAAAAATAAGACAAAAGAAAATTAAGATTTAATATATACCTTATCAGATATATCCTCACGTAATATATACCTTATCAGATGACCAAGCCACTGCTCCTTCACTCATCATAAATATATAGCCTGAAGTGCTTATGTGGTCTTCTATGTCCCGGCATAGTCACTATCAGTAAAATCGATCCGCTCACTCACTCATCCTCTTTTGTAGAATACACCATAGTTAATTGTACCTTTCAAGTACCTCAAAGCTCTTTTTGCTACTACAAAATGTTGTTGCGTTGGACAAGCCATAAAATGACTTATCAGACTGGCAACAAACATAAGATCAGGACGAGTGGCAGTGAGATATATCAAGCTTCCTACTATCTGTTTGAAAAACGTTGCATCCATTTTAATGCCATTTTCATCTTTACCAATTTTTTTTTTTTTGTCCTGGAACAATGGGATTGCAAACAGAGTTGCAATTTTCCATCTCAGATCGCTTCAAAACCTCAGTTGTATACTTCCTTTGACATATAAAAGTGCGATCTGATCGTTGTATTACTTCAATCCTTTTCTTCCTTTTAATGAAGAGCGTATGCTCACAAGAACTGTTTTCAAAACCTTATTTGATGAAGTAGGATTCGATTAGGCTGAATCATGCTTTAGGTGCCTATTTTAACTCATAGAGTGTGTTGAGCTTCTACACCATATGTTCACTTCCCCTTTTTTCACAGCCTCTTGGTTGCTCTATAAAGATATCTTCTTTCAATTCTCCATGTAAAAAAGCTGATTTTACATCTAACTGATGAAGTTTTCAGCCTTTCTGAGCTGCAAAAGCTATGATCATCCTCACAATATCCATTCTAGCTACCGGCGCAAAAACTTCAGTGTAATCAATTCCATGCTCTTGTATGTATCCTTTTACCACCAATCTTGCCTTATATTTGTCAACCTCTCCAAGCTCATTTAGCTTAGTTTTATAAACCTATTTTGCCCCAATTTTCTTAGCACCGACAAGTAGAAATACTAAGTGCTAGGTCTAATTTTTTTTCAATGGATTTAATCTCCTCATCCATGGCAATCCTCCACTTTGAGTTTTTTACTGCTTCCTCATACTTTACCAGAGCTAAATTTGTAAAAAACTGTCATGTTAACATTATCTTCTTCGGACAAACCTTCACCGAAAACAGAATCAATTGACCATATAGGTGGGCGTCGACTTCTACCCTCCCTTATAGCCAAACCTGGTTCGACAACAGCAGGTGCAGCCGTAGGTACAACAGCGGTTCAATTTCACCATTTGAGTTAATCGATGAAGCTGAACCTATGTGATGTTTTGTGTCTTCTTCTGTTTCCATTGAAATTTCAATGTTTTTTCCCCAATCTAAATTAGTTTTATTTTCATAATTTTTTCAATCTCATTCACGATCCTCATAAAAAATTACGTCGCAGCTAACTATGATTTTGTTTGCTACAGGATCAAACATTCTGTACCCTTTGGATTCACCATTGATTCCAAATGAAATACAACTTACACTTTTCTCTTCAAGCCTTTTCCTCTTAGCATCTGGAATATGAACATATCCCACACGTTTGAAAACTCGAAAATAGTCAACGGATGGTTTTACTCCACTCCAAGTCTCTTCTGGTGTTACATCTTTCACTGCAAGAGTTGGTGATCGATTTAAGACATGATTCACCCACATAACAGATTTAGGCAAGAATCTCTTTGGTACTTTCTTTTCTGTTAACACAGCTCTTACCAGGTTCATCACTGTACGATTTTTTAGTTCAGCTACTCCATTTTGTTGTGGAGTATAAGCTGTGGTCATGGTCAGTTGTCTCTTCACTCCATGCATCTTGCAAAAGTCATTAAATTTGGCCGAATTGAATTCTCCTCCTTTATCTGCTCTTAGGCATTTTATAGGCATTCCAACTTCTTTTTCCATGAAAATTTTGAAACATTTAAAATGGTAAAATGTTTCTGATTTTTCTAGGAGAAAGTACATCATGCCTTCCTAGTAAAATCATCTATAAAACACAATACATACCTTTTTCCGGCTGCTTGAAGATAGAGTAACCGACAACACAAATCAGCATGAACAAGTCCCAATTTTTCAGTTGCTCTACACTGACTGTGTTTTGGAATCAGAGCTCAATATTGTTTGCCCTTTATACATGCTTCGCAAGTGATGCTTGGATTGCGGCAAACCTTCCACCATGTTTTTATGTTTCAAAATACGAAGGCCTTTGTAGCTGAGATGACCATAACGATAGTACCAAAGTGTTGATTGATCTATATTAGAGGCTTGGAGGCATCTCTTCAGTTGTTGGGATTGATGACTTTGCAAGCAAAATGAACATTCGGTTTACACTCATAATTGATTCTGCTATTTTCCTTGTCTGTGAATGATAAATACTGCATATTCCATTTTTTAACAGTACTGTAAAATTGTTTTTGCAAGAAAATCGTTATACCATTGGAGAAGTATATTGAACACCTGAACTTCAAGACACTTTCATTCTGGTATTATTTCCAAGCTTGACACTGTGAGTAAAAGTTTATCTAAACTTGAAAACATGTTTTCATTACCACACATGTGATTTGAGCAACCCAAATCTTAGAACCAGACGTCACTTCTCTTTGATCCATGGAGTTTTACATAGGCCATTAGCAGCATCTCATCTTCTTCGTCAAGCTCAGCATAATTTGTTTCATTCTTCCACTTTGGACATTCATACTGAAAATATCCTAAGTTGTGACACTTATAACATTCAACAGTTGCTTTGTTGAAATTTATTCTCCCTCTTTCAACGCCCTCTTCCTCTGTACGTTCCTCTCCCTCTGTTGTTTGTACTAGATCGACCTACAACATTCAGCACTTCTTCATCATTGTTGCTGGGGCGTCGAAATATTTGTTCATGCACCACTAACGAACTTTGTAACTTATCAATGTACATAGTATCAATATCTTTTGATTCTTCAATGGATACTACAACGTATGTAAATTTGTCAGTTAGGGTGCGTAGGATTTTTTCTACAATTTTCTTTTTCTGACATTTTTTCTCCGCTTCTCATCTTATTAGCAACGTGCATCACTCTTGCAAAATACTCAGTGATGGTTTCATTCTTTCTCATATCCAGAACCTCGTACTCTCTTCTTAATGCATTAAGAAGTGATTTCTTCACTCTTTGGTTTCCACCAAACTTTCTCTTCATTGAGTCCCAAACATTCTTGGATGTGCGACGGTCCAAGATTTGTTCAAAGACAGTTTGATCAATCGCTTGGTACAGGTAATACTTTACCTGATGATCCTTGTTGTGCAGCAGCAGTCAATTCTGTCCCTTCTACTAGTTCCGAAAAACCATACTCCACCAAACTCCATGAGCCTTTTGCTTTAAGCAAGTTCTCCATCAATTTACTCCAATGATCATCGTGACCATCGAAGTGAGGAATTTTCGTTAATATTTTGTCGTCACTCATTCTCTCAGTGTTTGATCTCTTGATGATTGCAACTTCTTTCTAATTGGCTCTGATACCAATTGATAAGTTCAGCAGTAAATTGTTAGAGCAGAGAACATAAACAATTGGACCTAAGCATGACATTATATAGCCTTTACAATCACGTAGTTAGAACCTAAAAATATAGCAGAAAAACTTAAGAGTCCCAAAGAATAAAACTCTCAACTATATTTAAAATAAAAGACTAGACCAGTAACTCCTAACAAATATATGTATGTAAATTTTAATTTAGAAAATATTCATGAAATTTTAAAATTAACATTAATACCCTTAAATAAATAGAAAAAAAAATAGAAGCGTGTACAAGATCTATGATCTATGAGGTGTAGATAGGATTTGATAACCTTGAACTTTTGGTTAAAAAAAAAAACTTAAAAACTTGGAGATGATCAATAAAGTATATATAGACAGTTTTCGTCTATAAATTGACATAAAAACTCTTTTTAATTTTTTATAAAGTTTGAAAGTGTTAATAATATTATAAAGTTTCATGAGTATTTTTTTTTTAATAATGGAAGGATATTAATTAAACTTTTTAAAGTTTTAAAGGTATTTTTAAAACAAAATAACAACGGTTTTCATTCGAAACTAATAATAAGATAATTTTTGGAAGTTCAAGAATATTATTGAAATATTCTAATGTTTAAGGGTATAATTTTAAGATAAAATATAAAATCTTTAGGTTTTTAAGTTTTTAGTTTTAAAAGTAATTTAGCCTATCTTTTAATTATATATATATATATGAAAGCTTTAAAAAATAAAATATTTTGAAAAAGAAAAAAAAAACTCCACACTTTATTACTATCTGATTTTTTTGGTTTTTTTGAGAGATTATAAACATTTAAAAAGTACTCATTTAAAATTTAAAAACATTTGTAAAAAAATAGATAACAAATAAAAAAAGTTTACAAATCAAAATAATAAAAAAAGAAAGAGAAAATAGTTGGTAAATAAAGCAAAAATAATAATTAAAAAAAATTGTTAAATAAAACCTAAAAAAACCAACTAATCCAATCAAGCCATTTGAAAATTCACTTATGGCCACCACTTTATTTCTTCATATTTAAATTTATTTAATTATACTAAAACTTTTTAAAAAAATATTAAAATGTAATCAAATAATATCTTTAATGATATTCCAAATTTTTGTTAGTATTTAACCAAGCATTTTCAGGTTATAGAGAGTGAAAAATATTGGAAGATAACCTTCCTAATTTCATCCTCACGTTATTCTTTTGATTCATTCTAATGAGAAATAGAAAAGAATTGGAATGGAAGGTGTGTTCTCGTTAATATTCATAAACTTTAAATAGTATACAAGCGAGCAACTAATACTTCCAAATAAGGAAAATATAAATCAATTAAATATTGAGAATAAAATAAAATATACTAGATATAATATCTAAGATATATTCCATAAATAATATATTCTTCAAATATTTATCTCAACATTAATATCACCTTTCACAGTAAAAAAAGAGTAAAGTATTCTTTTTTATTCGATCGCGTGTTCTTCTTATGTTCTTAAGTATTATTGAACGAACCCTAATTTTATTTTTTTTTTAATTTCATTCCTATATTGTGTTACTAGAATCTCACTCACATGGGTTAGAGGTATAAGCAATAGATCTTCAAATTGCTGTCGATTCTCATCACAAATTGCTCGGACCCTTCTTGTGGAGGTTTGAAGTTTTTTTTTTTTTTTTTTTTTTAATTTTT